TTTTTGAAGAAGGGTCTAGACCCAAAACATCAGCTTTCCTGCTCCTCTGATGCTGCTTGGCCTGCTGTGTTCATCCAGCTCCACACCTTGTTATCTCAGATTCTCCAGCATCGGCAGTTCCTATTATCCTGGTAAATCTCCTCTGCACCTTTTCCAGCGCTTCCACATCTTTCCTGTAATGAGGCGACCAGAACTGGACACAATACTCCAGATGTGGCCGAACCAGGGTTTTGTATAGCTGGAGAAAAACTTCACAGCTCTTGAACTCAATCCCTCTATTAATGAAAGCTAACACACCATACGCCTTCTTAACAACTCTATCCACCTGGGTGGCAGCTTTCAGGGAACTGTGGACATGAACCCCAAGATCCCTCTGCTCCTCCACACTGCCAAGAATCTTTCCGTTAACCCTGTATTCTGCTTTCAAGTTTGTCCTTCCAAAATGAATCATCTCACACTTTTCAGGGTTAAACTCCATCTGCCACTTCTTAGCCCAGCACTGCAACCTATCACTGTCACTTTGTAACCTAGAACAGACCTCCGCACTATCCACAACGCAACCCACCTTTGTATTGTCCGCGAACTTACTAATCCACCCTTCCACTCCTTCATCCAAATCATTTACAAAAATCACAAATAGAGGAGGACCCAGAACAGATCCTTGTGGTACACCACTCGTAACTGAGCACCATGTTGAATATTTTCCGTCCACTACCACCCTTTGTCTTCTAAGGGTCAGCCAATTCTGAATCCAATTTGCCACATTTCCCCCGATCCCATGCCTCCTTACTTTCTGCACGAGCCTACCATGGGGGAACCTTATCAAACACCTTACTTAAATCCATGTATACCACATCCACTGCTCTACCTTCATCCACATGTTTGGTCACCTCTTCAAAGAATTCAATAAGGTTTCAGGCATGATCTACCCCTCACAAATCCATGCTGACTATCATGAATCAAACTGTGCCTATCCAAGCGATCATAAATCCTATCTCTCAGAGCCCTTTCCAATAATTTGCCCACCACTGACATAAGACTAGTTGGCCTGTAACTTCAGGGGTTATCCCTATTCCCTTTTTTGAACAAGGGAATGACGTTTGCCTCTCTCCAATCTTCCGGCACTATACCCGTGTACAGTGAGGATGAAAAGATCATTGCCAAAGGCCCTGCGATCTCTTCCCTCGCTTTCCACAGAATCCTTGGATAAATCCCATCAGGCCCAGGGGACTTATCAATTTTCAAGTTCCTCAAAGTTCCTAGTACATCCACCTCCTCTAGCTTTCCAGCCTGTTTCACACTGTCCTCCTCTACAACTAGGTCCCTCTCAGTTGTGAATACCGAGAAAAGTGTTCGTTAAGGACCTGTCCTATCTCTTTAGGCTCCGTGCACAAATTCCCTTTACGATCCTTGATCAGCCCTACCCTTTCTCTGGTCATTCTCTTATTCTTCATGTATGTGTCAAAAGCCTTAGGGTTTTCCTTGATCCTATCTGCCAAGGTTTTCTCATGCCCCCAATAGCTCTCCTAAGCCCTTTCTTCCGCTCCTTCCTGGCTAACTTGTATCCCTCTATAGCCTTTTCCAATCCTTGTTTCCTAAACCTTACATAAACATCCTTCTTCCTCTTAACCAGTCGTTCGACCTCTCGAGAACCAAGGCTCCCTCACTCAACCGCATCTTCCCTGCCTGCTAGGGACAAACATATCGAGCAGACGCAGTATGCATTCCTTAAGCAATCTCCACATTTCAATAGTGCTCTTCCCTGACAGCATCTGTTCCATTTTATGTTACCCAGTTCTTGCCTAACAGAATTATAATTACCCTTCCTCCAATTATAAATCTTACCCTGCTGTATGTACGTATTCTTTTCCATGACTATTGTAAAAGTAAGAGTTATGATCGCTACCGCCAAAATGCTCTACCAACAGGTCTAACACTTGGCCCAGTTCATTGCCAAGCACCAAATCCAAAGTGGCCTCTCCTCATGTTGGTCTATCTATGTACTGTGTCAGGAATCCTTCCTGAATGCACTGTACAAAATCCGCTCCATCTAAACTATTACAACTAAAATGTTTCCAATCAATATTTGGAAAGTTGAAGTCACCCATGACTACAACACTGTGACTTCTGCACCTTTCCAGTATCTGCCTCCCAATCCGCTCCTCCACTTCTCAGCAACTATTAGGGGGTCTGTAAAAAACCCCCAAAGTGACTGCTCCTTTCTTGTTCCTGACCTCAATCCAAACTGACTCTGTAGACATATCATTCTCAAACTGCCTTTCAGTAGCTGCTATACTAGTCCTGACTAGCAATGCCACTCCCCTGCCTCTTTTACCACCCTCCCTATTTTTTTAAAACGCATCTAAATCCCAGAACTTCCAACAACCATTTCTGTCCCCGAGTTACCCAAGTTTCTGTAATGGCCACTTACCCAATTTTCTGTAATGCTGAAAGACTTTCAGCACTTTCCTTTTTAAAAACCAGCATCTGCAGCATTTTAAGAGTAGTATTTTTGGGGTCAGGTTTGTTGACAGTCCAAAGATGTGGGATATTATTAAGGTTTCAGAAGAGAATTACCTGGATGTTGCTGGATTTGGAAGGTTTGAGTTATAAAGAAAGGCTGATGGACTGGGGACTTTTTTCACTGGCGTGCAGGAGATTGAGAAGCGACCTGATACAAGTTTATAAAACAGTGAGACGTATAGATAGAGTTAATGGTAGTTACCTTTTCCCTAGGATGGGAGATTTCAAGACTAGGGGGCACAATTTTAAAGTGAGAGGTGAGAGGTTTAAAAAAGACATGAGGGGCAACTTTATTTTTCCACGCAGAGGGTGATTTGCATGTAGAATGAACTTCCTAAGGAAGAAGTGGTGAACATGGGCACAGTTAAGACATTTGGATAAGTACATGAATAGGAAAGGTTTGGAGGGATATGGGCCAGGAGCAGGCAGGTAGCACTAGTTTAGTTCGGGATTACGGTCAGCATAAACTGGTTGGACTGAAGGGTCTGTTTCCATGCTGTGTGATATGACTGTATTGGGGACATTGGCACCAGTTCAGGTGCAGTCCATACTGCTGTAAGCTACCGTAAGGATTTTCTGTCCTCTCATTGGATGTTTACCAGGCGACTGCAAGGAGAGGTGGGGGCGTTGGGGTGGGTGGTGCACAGACTTAATTGAGTTCAAGAAATCATCCTGAAACAGTACATCTGATTTAAGCCAAGATATTGGTAAGGCAATTGGAGTATAGCATACAATTTTGGTCGCCCTGTTATAGGAAGAGAGTGTTGTTGAACTGGAAAGGGAGCAAAAAACATTTACGAGGATGTTACTGAGGCTGGAAGGTTGGAGTTATAAGGACAGGCCGGATAGGCTAGAACTTTTCTCACTGGAGTGTCGGAGGCTGAGGGGTGACCTTATAGAGGTTTATAAAATCATGAGGGGCATGGATAGAGAGCGAATACACACAATATTTTCCTGTGTATTAGGGGAATACAAAACTAGACTGCATAGGTTTAAGGTGAGAGAAGAAAGATTTAAAACAGATCTACGGGCAACTTTTTCACACAGAGGCGTTGTGCATGTATAGGACAAGCTGCCAGAGGTGACAGTGGAGGCGAGTACAATTACAACATTTAAAAGACATTTGGATCGGTACCTGAATAGGTTTAGACAGATATGGGCCAAACGCATGCAAATGGGACTAGTTCAGTTTAGGAAGACTGGTTGGCATGGATGAGTGGGACTGAAGATTTCCATGACGCTGTAGCAATGATGCCATACGTGTCACCTCCAAAGTCTATTCTGAACCGTGAGCTGTCTCCGACTCCCAATCTGAGAATCCAGATAGACACACCGACAGGTAACTGTCAATGATAGGACCATGGCGAGATTGTGGTGACTTCTGGGAACTGTGCCTGCTCCGCTATACATTTCAAATCTGTTTCAGGGGTCAATCATTAAGGACATACACATGAAAAAAAAGTTTCATCACTCAAAGGGTTGTGAATCTTTGGGGACTGCAGATCTCCATGGTTCAGTACATCCAAGATGAAGAATTTCTGATCTCTCAGCCAATAAAGAAAGAGGAGCAGAGACAGATCAAACGATTAGCTACAGTTGTGTTGAGTAATGCAGCAAGCAAGGGCCCGGCCCAAGTGCTCTACTCCTGCTCCTGTTTCTTATTTAAATACACGCTCTTTCTTTTGTATTTGGGACTTTGCACAGGTTGGTGTTGCTTGAAAACCACCCTAAGCCATTCCAGCGCACCCACTGATACAGTTCAATAGGCTCTGACCTCCTCTCGATCCTCACTGAAGTAATGTTTCTCAGAGGTTGTTCATCACGGACAACATCGCAATTACATCAGACCATTATGTAGGAGTAGGCCATTCAGCCCCTTGAGCTTGCTCTGCCATTTAATATGATCATGGTTGATCATTTCTGCTTCAACTTCACTTTCCTGCCAACTCTCCATTACCCTTCAATGCATTAATAATTAATGAATGATCTCCTCCTCAGTTACGCGATGTCTTACTTTGTGCTGCCGAGGAAAGCAGTCAACATAATCAAAGACCGCTCCCACCCTGGTTATACTCTCTCCCATCAGGCAGAAAGTTTGAAAACACATACCGGCAGAATCAAGAACAGCTTCTCCCCCACAATTATCAGATTTATTGAACAGACCTCTCAGATACTGGAGTTGATCTTTCTCTATACCTTCTCTGTAGCTGTAACACTATATTCTGCATTCTGTTCTATTACCCTGATGTTCTTATAGAAGGCAGGATTTGTCTGGGTAGCATGAAAAACAATACTTTTCACTGTATCTCAGCACGTGACAATAATAAATCAAATCCAATCAAGTCCCAGCATCCACCGCTCACTGGGCTAGTGAATTCCACAGATTTACGACCTCTGGAGGAAAGTCATTTCTCATCTTAGTTTTAAATCTGCTACCTACCCCTTACCTTAAAACTACTACCTCTCATTCTAGATTGCCTCAAATGGGGAAACAACCTATGTCAACTTTGTCAACCCCCTTTATGATCTTCCATACCTCAATGAGATTGCCTCTCATTCTTCTAAACTTCAGAGAGGATAGGCCCAACAATCTCTTCATAAAACAGATCCTTCACCTCTGGAATCAATCTCTGATCCTCTGGTTGGGTTCCATGATTGTTCTGGAGTTTCGCCAAGTCAGCAGCAGGAACCCAGCTGATGCTTACCCCATTAACCCCATGCACCAAACTTCCCTGACCTTGCAATATGGAGACAAATTGGAAATTTGCCAGAGCTAACCAGCTCAGCACACGAGGGAAATCCATTGAACCACACAAGCTCATTCAGGGCAAACACCTACCTGATCAACTCATTCCACATATTTCTCAGCAGGATCCCAAACTCTTCGCAAATCCATCAAATCTTCCATTGGCCCGGCCAAACCCCGCCACCACCAAATTCCTTATTGCTTACCAAGAAGGGCCCATGTTCATTTAGAAGCCCATCCAAGGAGCTGCAGCCAGGTCCTCCGTTCAGCCACAGTACAACAGGATCACTTTCAGGATGGCCCTGAGACTCCACAAACCTGCAGGACAAGGGCCGGTAAATATTCAGCACAAAGAGACTTTGCTGACTGCAGCATGGTACACACGGCAATGGGCTGGGGCAAATAAAAAGGCCGAGCCCAGGAGTGGGTGAGTAGTGGAGCAGGACCCGAATCAAGTGAGAGAGCAAGGCAAGTTAAATGGAATTTTACCTAGAAATCCTTCCAAATTAAAGTTAGATTGAGTACTTTATATTTTTACAATGAGGATACCATTGTATTTTTTCAAATAACAAAGCTTATGACATTAATAAACCTTAAACGACTAAGGTTAGTTGGGGATGGCAGTATAGCTCCTGTCCTGTAATAGCAGATCAGGGGAATTTATGGACAGTACTGTAATCCTGAACAACAACTTCAGCAGGAAGTATCTACATCACAAATGTTAGCTCGGAGTTGGAGGCAATAAGGACTGCACAAGCTGGAGGCCAAAGTCTATAGGTGTGAGGCTGGAGAAACACAGCATCCAAGGAGCAGGTAAGTCAATGTTTCAGGCTGAAACCCTTCATCAGGACTGGGAATGGGGAGGGGGGCCCAGAAATAAATAGAGGGAGGGGCTGGGGGAAGGGTAGGAGAGATGGTAATAGGTGGATGCAGGTAGAAGGTTATTGTGATGGGTCCATTGGAAGGGTTGAGCAGATAGGCGAGTAGGAAGATGGACAAGTTAGGTCATGTCAGGAAGGGTAGGGCTGGACATGGGTTAATGCTGGTGAAGTCATTGTTAAGGCCTTGGGACCTTACAGCCCAATGGTGAAATATCAGGTGTTGTTCCTCAAGTTTATGTTTAGCCTCACTCTGACAGTGGAGGCCAAGGACGGACATGTTGTGGAGTGGGAGGGGGGATTAAAATGGACGGCAACCAGAAGGTCGGGTTGGTTGTTGCGTGCAGAGCGCAGACGTTCCACAAACTGGTCCCCAAGTCTGCGTTCGGTCTCCCGGATATAGAGGAGACCACATCAGGAGCAACGGATGCAATAGATCAGGTTGGATGAGGTGCAGGTGAATCTCTGACGGATTTGGAAGGATTGCTTTGGGCCTTGGGTGGAGGTGAGAGGGGAGATGAAGGGGCAGATGTTGCACCTCCTGCGGTTGCGGGGAAAGGTACCGGGTGTGGGGGAGAAATTGGTGAGGAGTGTAGATCTGCTGAGCAAGTTATGGAGTGAACGGTTCCTGGGGAAGGCGGACAGGGGTAGGGAGGGAAATATCTTTTTGGTGGCGGGGTCTGATTGTAGGTGGCAGAAATGTCGGAGGATGATGCGTTGCGTTTGCAGTTTGGTGAGGTGGTATGTGAGGACTAAGGGGACTCCATCCTTATTGTTGTTGGGGGAGAGGGTTTGAGGGCAGAAACACAGGAAATGAGGGAGATGTAGTTGAGGGCATCCTTACTAACTGAGGAGGGGAAATTACAGTCCCTAAAGGAGGAGGCTATCTGGGATCTCGTGGAGTGAAACGCCTTATCCTGGGAGCAGATGCGGCGGAAGTGGAGGAATTGGGAGTATCAGATAGCATTTTTTTGGAGGAGGGCGGCTGAGAGGAGGTGTAGTCAAGGTAGTCGTGGGAGTCAGTGAGTTTGAAATGGATGTTGGTGGGGTGAGTCAGTTTCTGGAGATAGAGACGGAGAGGTCCAGGAAGGGGAGGGAGGTGTCAGAAATAGTCCTGGTGAATTTGAGAGCAGGGTGGAAGACGTTGGCGAATTTGATTAACTGCTGGAGCAGGAGCATGAAGCCACACCAATGCAGTCATCAATACAGCGGAGAAAGAGGTGAGGGATGGTGCTGGTGTAACAGCAGAAGACAGAAGCACAGAAGGTGAAGTGGTGACATACTTATAGTGTCACGTGGCTAATAATCCAGAGGCCTAGGCTAATGTTCTAGGCACGCAGTTTCAAATCCCACCACAGCAGATGGTGACTTTAGTTTCAGTTAATAAAGAAAAGAATCTGCCAGTGAAAACTAGCCTCAATAACAGGTCATCATGAATCGATGATCGTTGTAAAAGCTCATCTGGTTCACTAGCACCCTTTTAGGGAAGTAAAGCTGCCTTCCTTTCCTGATCTGGGCCTACACGTGACTCTAGGCCAATAGTAATGTGGCTGATTGTTCACTCCACACTGAAAGAGCAGAGCAAGTTCCTCAATAAATCCTGGCCCAGTCAGTGACGTACACGTTGCATGAAAGAAGAAAAATAAAAAGCTAGAGTACAGAGATCTGTAACCAGCAATTCCGAATGTTACGTTGCCTACCCAGTTCCAGGCTTAAGGCCATTCCCCCACATGAGAGAAGAACTAGGAGTGGGTGGTGTGTGGAGGGCGGCTGAGGTTTCTACTTGTCAGCCTCCACCGCTCCCCTGCCAAAACGTAGAAACTGACATTTGTACCCCCAGGAATTAGGTTCTGCAAAGACTTCTTCAGGAGGAAGAGTTCAGATTAAAGCACTGAGCACCAGGGTAATGTCTGGGTTGTTACCTGACCAAATCACAAATGGACGTAGGGATAAATAGATTAGAAAGTTAAAAGAAACAGGCCGAGGAACTGGTGGGAGAGACAAAATGTTCAATTCATGAGCCACTGACAGCAGTACCAGGAAAAGAGTGAGTCATTCCCCTGTAATGAGCTACATTTAAACCGAACTGGGAGCAGTGTCCCAGCAAATCCAACAGCCCATGCTATGGGCACGGCTTTACACATGGAGTTGAGGTGGGAGACAGGGAGGATTTAAATAGGTTAACGTCGAAAGCAGGATGAGAAATAACAAGGCTCTAGCATCTCCAAATGGATGAAATAAATAAGCAGATGTGGTCAAGAAGGGATAGAGTCATAGAAATGTACAGCATGGAAACATACCCTTCAGTCCAAATCATCAGTGCCGACCTGATATCCTAAATCAATCTAGTCCCATTTGTCAGCATTTGGCCCATATCCCTCTAAACCCTGCCTATTCATAAATCCATCCAGATGCCATTTAAATGTTGTAATTGTACCTGTCTCCACCACTTCCTCTGGCAGCTCATTCCATACAGACACTAGCCTATGTGTGAAAAAGTTGCCCCTTTAGGTCCCTTTTAAATCTTTCCCCTCTTGCCTTAAATCTACGTCTTCTAGATTTGGACTTCCCCCACCCTAGGAAAAAGACCATGTCTATTTACCCTATCCATGCCCCTCATGATTTTACAATTCTCTACAAGGCCATCCTTCAGCCTCTGACACTCCAGGGAAAATAGCCCCAGCCTAGTCAGCCTTTCCCGAGAGGTCAAAGCCTCCGACCCAGATAGTTTACCAAATATATCAGGTTATCTGTGACTAAGGTGATACTGGGATAAAATAGAAAAGTGTTAAAAGCTAAAGGTATTATATCTGAAAGTATAAAAGATACACTATTAATAGCAATTAATGGCACAGACAGAAACAAATGGGTTTGATCAACGTCATTACAAAGATGTGGTTGCTCAGTGATCTAGATTGGGAAGTGGATGTTTCAGATTAGTTCACTTTTATAAGGGATATGCAAAATAGTGAAAAAGTGAGCTTACCCTCAATAAAGGATGGGATAAAGATAGCGGAAAGGAAGGATTTGATTTCAGAAAAATAATATGTTGGATCAACTGGAGCTAAGAAACAAGGTTAGAACCAGGAAAGGAGAGGTCACCCTGTTGGGAGTTTTCTATAGGCCTCCGAAAAGTTCCAGAGATGTAGAGGAAAAGATTGCAAAGATGATTCTGGATAGGAGCGAAAGTAACAGGGTAGTTGTTATGGGGGACTTTAACTTTCCAAATATTGACTGGAAACGCTATAGTTCGAGTACTTCAGATGGGTCAGTTTTTGTCCAATGTGTGCAGGAGGGTTTCCTGACACAGTATGTAGATAGGCCAACAAGAGGCGAGGCCACATTGGATTTGGTACTGGGTAATGAACCAGGCCAGGTGTTAGATTTGGAGGTAGGTGAGCACTTTGGTGATAGTGACCACAATTCGGTTACGTTTACTTTAGCGATGGAAAGGGATCGGTATATACCGCAGGGCAAGAGTTATAGCTGGGGGAAAGGCAATTATGAGGCGATGAGGCAAGATTTAGGATGCATAGGATGGAGAAGGAAACTGCAGGGGCTGGGCACAATTGAAATGTGGAGCTTGTTCAAGGAACAGCTACTGCGTGTCCTTGAGAAGTATGTACCTGTCAGGCAGGGAGAAAGTGGTCGAGCGAGGGAACCGTGGTTTACTAAAGAAGTTGAATCTCTTGTCAAGAGGAAGAAGGAGGCTTATGTAGAGATGAGGCGTGAAGGCTCAGTTAGGGCGCTTGAGAGTTACAAGTTAGCCAGGAAGGACCTAAAGAGAGAGCTAAGAAGAGCCAGGAGGGGACATGAGAAGTCTTTAGCAGGTAGGATCAAGGAAAACCCTAAAGCTTTCTATAGGTATGTCAGGAATAAAAGAATGACTAGAGTCAGATTAGGGCCGGTCAAGGACAGTAGTGGGAAGTTGTGCGTGGAGTCCGAAGAGATAGGAGAGGTGCTAAATGAATATTTTTCGTCAGTATTCACACAGGAAAAAGACCATGTAGTCGAGGAGAATACTGAGATACAGTCTATTAGACTAGACAGGATTGAGGTTCATAAGGAGGAGGTGTTAGCAATTCTGGAACGTGTGAAAATAGATAAGTCCCCTGAGCCGGATGGGATTTATCCTAGGATTCTCTGGGAAGCTAGAGAGGAGATTGCAGAGCCTTTGGCTTTGATCTTTATGTCGTCATTGTCTTCAGGAATAGTGCCAGAAGACTGGAGACTAGCAAATATTGTCCCCTTGTTCAAGAAGGGGAGTAGAGACAACCCTGGTAATTATAGACCAGTGAGCCTTACTTCGATTGTGGGTAAAGTGTTGGAAAGGATTATAAGAGATAGGATTTATAATCATCTAAAAAGGAATAATTTGATTAGGGATAGTCAACACGGTTTTGTGAAGGGTAGGTCGTGCCTCACAAACCTTATTGAGTTCTTCGAGAAGGTGACCAAACAGGTGGATGAGGGTAAAGCGGTTGATGTGGTGTATTTGGATTTCAGTAAAGCGTTTGATAAGGTTCCCCATGGTAGGCTATTGCAGAAAATACGGAGGCATGGGATTGAGGGTGATTTAGCGGTTTGGATCAGAAATTGGCTAGCTGTAAGAAGACAGAGGGTGGTGGTTGATGGGAAATGTTCATCCTGGAGGTCAGTTACTAGCGGTGTACCTCAAGGATCCGTTTTGGGACCACTGCTGTTTGTCATTTTTATAAATGACTTGGATGAGGGTGTAGAAGGATGGGTTAGTAAATTTGCGGATGACACCAAAGTCGGTGGAGTTGTGGATAGTGCGGAAGGATGTTGCAGGTTACAGAGGGACATAGATAAGCTGCAGAGCTGGGCTGAGAGGTGGCAAATGGAGTTTAATGCGGAAAAGTGTGAGGAGATTCACTTTGGAAGGAGTAACAGGAATACAGAGTACTGGGCTAATGATAAGATTCTTGGTAGTGTGGATGAGCAGAAAGATCTCGGTGTCCACGTGCATAGATCACTGAAAGTTGCCACCCAGGTTGATAGCATTGTTAAGAAGGCGTACAGTATGTTAGGTTTTATTGGTAGAGGGATTGAGTTTCGGAGCCATGAGGTCATGTTGCAGCTGTACAAAACTCTGGTGCGGCTACACTTGGAGTATTGCGTACAGTTCTGGTCACCACATTATAGGAAGGATGTGGAAGCATTGGAATGGGTGCAGAGGAGATTTACCAGGATGTTGCGTGGTATGGAGGGAAGGTCTTATGAGGAAAGGCTGAGGGTCTTGAGGCTGTTTTCGTTAGAGAGAAGAAGGTTAAGAGGTGACTTGATAGAGACATACAAGATGATCACAGGATTAGATAGGGTGGACAGTGGGAGCCTTTTTCCTCGGATGGTGATGGCTAGCATGAGGGGACATAGCTTTAAATTGAGGGGTGATAGATATAGGACAGATGTCAGAGGTTGGTTCTTTACTCAGAGTAGTTTAGGCGTGGAATGCTCTGCCTGCAAAAATAGTAGACTCGCCCACTTTAAGGGCATTTAAATGGTCATTGGATAAACATATGGATGATAATGGAATAGTTTAGGTTAGATGGGCTTCAGATTGGTTTCACAGGTCGGCGCAACATCGAGGGCCGAAGGGCCTGTACTGCGCTGTAATGTTCTATGTTCTAAGAAACAAGGAGCAGAAATACTGGTAGGAGTCACGTGTACACATCTAACAGTAACAAATCTATCAAACAATTCCTTTTTCAAAGCAAAATCTATACTGCCTTGTCTGATCATGTTATGATAATCTAAATGTATTGATCAGATTTCCATAAAAACTGGATTCTCATGAGGGGCATGGATAGGGTAAATAGCCGAGGTCTTTATTCCAGGGTAAGGGAGTCCAGAACTAGAGGGCATACATTTAAGGTGAGAGGGGAAAGATATAAAAGGGACCCAAGGGACAACATTTTCCACGCAGAAGGTGGTGCATGTACGGAATGAGCTGCAGGAGGAAGTGGTGGAGGCTGGTACAAAAACAACATTTAAAAAGGCATCTGGATGGATACATGAATAGGAAGGGTTCAAGAGGGAAGTGGGCCAAATACTGGCAAATGGGACTAGATCAGTTTTGGATATCTGGTCGGCGCAGACAAATTGGACTGAAGGATCTGTTTCCATGCTGTATAACTATGATTATTTATCCGACAACTGATGGGTAGCTATCTGGCCTGCAGTTCCCAGTCTTCTCTCTCCCTCCTTTTTGAATAGTAGTACTACATTTACAAACTTCCAATCCAATGGGACCATGACAAAAATCTATGGAATTTTGTAAAATCACAGCCAGTATCCCATATCTCTGTAGCTGTCTCTTAGAACGTAGATCATCAGGTCCTGGGAACTTACCAGATTTTAGACTCTCAGATTTCACCTGCTGGTATTAATCACCAGTTTCCTCACTCACCTAGTTTACCCTCCATTACTGGTATGTAAATTGTATCCTCTAACATAGACAGACAGACAGAATATTTGTTCAATGTTTGTCGATTCTTCATTCCCCATGGTAACTTCTCCTGTCTCTGCTTCTAAGGGACAGATATTTGCTTTATCTATATGGAGGTCCTGACATTGCTACAGGGCAGCCTGTAAACAGGGCAGCCGCTGCACGCTGGTGAAAGAGGAAGTGAATACAAAAACGTGAGGTAGCTCAGCAAAGTCACTCGCAGCTAAAAAGTGAAGCTAAATCACTAACCAGTAATGGAGGTGTATGTTTTCAGATGCATTCAGGTATCCGGAGTACTGTCTAAAGCTGGGTTGCTTGACCAGTCCTGGGAGGTAAGTGATCTCATCCTTGGCTGGAGCAGATTCGGTAAGAAAGACTTCCAACAGCACGGCTAACAACCCGAGCCAAACCATCTGTGTGAGAGAAACCAACAGAGCTTTTTTTTTAAAACTAGCGAGTTACATACCCCTTTGTTTTTCTCTCCTGGATCCACAGATATCCCGCAGCTCAAAAGAGTTCACTGCCACGACAACCAGCAGAACTCCCACTCAAAAGCTGGGCCGAATGGCCTCCGCCAGTTCTGGGGTGAGTTTATGAAGGGGCAGCGGGCAGGCCCTCAGCAGCCCACTGGGAATGTCAGTGTAGGTTCATTGCCCAAGTCCCTGGGATGGCACAGACCGGGAGGTTGGAGCACGGGCTGGAACCGTGCACTGTACCCCACGGAGACACAGCTCCTGCTCCTCGAGAATCCGAGGAAGAGAAGGCGGCTCTGGAGAGCAGTGTCGCCCCCACCCATGCCCGTTCCGGTACCCAGTCCCCTGCGCCGGGCATTACCCCTATACTGCACCCAGTAGATGCTGCGCTATCAGCTTGTGCAGAGCGGGGAGTCGCTCCCACTCAGCGCAGTGCCTAGACTCCGATCATGTGACCGCTAATCACATGACCCGGCCCTGCCGCGGGTGGTCACATGACCAGGTTGTGAGTTGATACACAGAGAGAGAAAGTAGGAAGTGTCAGTATTTGCAGTGGCTGGTTTCCCCCCTGTTTCCAACACATTTGCTTCCTCCCTAGTGAACTACACTGATCTCTGGGTACAGCCTCTGTGCCCCGCTGTCGCTCACTGCGATTCAAACCTGGCCACTAGCTGCTTCTGCTCTGGTCCGCAGCTCTACCTGAAGGTATACGTGACCAGTCGTTATTCCAATTCCACTGTTTCCTTCTCAACTGGTACCAACCTTCAGGTGTAGCAGGGACACAGCATTTCTTTCACAGTCATCCCTGGCTCCGTGCCGTGCTGCTATTTGAGCCACGGAGTTTGTACTTTCAACCCCCGCGTTGAGCACCAATTGCAGGCGGGAATTCCCGTGCAGGGCAAAGGGAGTGCTGGATTGCTAAAGGTGCTGACTTTTGCACAAGACATTAAAAGGAGGTTCCATCTGCCCTCACAATATGAAAAGACCACTAAAAGTCACTATTTTGAAGATAGATGAGTTCACTGTGCTGTCCAAATCTCAAATCTCAGCTAATGGCTAGAACAAGGTGCAGGACTGGCTGAACACAGCAGGCCGAGGAGCAGAAAGGCTGACGTTTCGGGCCGAGACCCTCCATCAGAAAAGAGGGAGGGGAAGGGGGTTCTGAAATAAATAGGGAGAGAGGGGGAGGCGGATAGAAGATGGATAGAGGAGAGGATAGGTGGAGAGGAAACAAACAGGTCGAAGAGGTGGGAATGGGGCCAGTAAAGGTGAGTGTAGGTGGGGAGTTAGGGAGGGGATTGGTCAGTCCACGGAGGACAGACAGGTCAAGGGGGCAGGATGAGGTTAGTCGGTAGGAAATGGCGGTGCGGCTTGAGGTGGGAGGAAGAACAGGTTAGGGAGGCGGGGACGAGCTGGACTGGTTTTGGGATGCGGTAGGGGGAATGGAGATTTTGAAGCTTGTGAAATCCACATTGATACCATTGGGCTGCAGGGTTCCCAAGCGGAATATGAGTTGCTGTTCCTGCAACCTTCGGGTGGCATCGTTGTGGCACTGCAGGAGGCCTCCTGCTTTTCACTTCAAAAATGTGGCCCCTTGTCCTTGACCCTTTGACTAAGGGGGAACAGCTGCTTTCTATCCACCCTGTCCATGCCCCTCATAATCTTGGAAGTCTGGGTCTTCCTGGTTGTATGCTGTGCTGTCAGTGCACAGTAGCCAGTTCAGCAGTATTTTTTTTTCTCTGGCCCAGATTTTAGCTTCTTAACCACATCTTACAAGGCCTCAGCAAGGGGTCACATAGAAATGACTGGCTTGTTAAGAAAAGCCAATCAAAATGAAACAGTTGAATGAGGAAGCAGTGATCTTGTGGAAAGACCAGAGCTATCTCCCTGCCCAGTCATGTTCATTGGTCTAGTTCAGATTCACAAGACTGACTTACTTGAAGGGTCAGATAATTACCTCATCAGTCTGTTTAATTTGACTGGCTCTTCCACTGGAGCATCCAGTGCCTTTTTGGGTTCACTGTCCTTACCTCAGCTATTGCTCTTGATAAATGTGAGGTGATGCATTTTGGAAGATCCAATTCAAGAGCGAACTATGCGGTAAATGGATTAGCCCTGGGTCAAATTGATGCACAGAGAGATCTGGGTGTTCAGGTCCATTGTACCCTGAAGGTAGCAACGCAGGTCGATAGAGTGGTCAAGAAGGCATATGGCATGCTTTCATTCATCGGACGGGGTATTGAGTACAAGAGTTGGCAGGTCATGTTACAGTTGTATAGGACTTTGGTTCAACCACATTTGGAATACTGCATACAGTTCTGGTCGCCACATTACCAAAAGGATGTGGATGCTTTGGAGAGAGTGCAGAGGAGATTCACCAGGATGTTGCCTGGTATGGAGGGTGCTAGCTATGAAGAGAGGTGGAGTAGATTAGGATTATTTACATTAGAAAGACGGAGGTTGAGGGGGGACCTGACTGAGGTCTACAAAATCATGAGAGCTATAGACAGGGTGGATAGCAGAGGGTGGTGGATGCCTGGAATGCGTTGCCAGCGGACGTGGTAGAGGCGGGCACGATAGCATCATTTAAGATGTATCTAGACAGATACATGAATGGGCAGGGAGCAGAGGGATACGGATCCTTAGAAAGTAGGTGACAGGTTTAGATAAAGGATCTGGATCGGCGCAGGCTTGGAGGGCTGAAGGGTCTGTTCCTGTGCTGTAATTTTCTTTGTTCTTTGTTCTTATAACCAGTTCCAGTTGTTAAATACACTCGGGGAAACAAATACTGCTCACTGTCTGTCAATAATTTGATTATCACCCTGGTCACACCCTGGTGATGTGGGTGGCCTTGAAACTGTCAGCATTCTCTTGTAAAATCCCAAATGGTTCAATGAAGTCCTGTAGAGGAGGAAATCTGCTGTCCTTACCCAGTCTGGTCTACACGAGACTCCAGACCCACAGCAATGAGTTTGACGTTTAACTGCCCTCTGAAATGGTCCAGCAAACCATTCAGTTGTAGCAAACCACGACAGAAAAATCTAATTATAAAGCTGAACACCAAAAAAGGGCCCAACTAATGCAGTCAGCATACCATAGTCCTTTTTAACGTGTCTGGACTTGTCGAAAGGTTTGCGAGCCATCCCACAGGCTCATCAACTAGCAGTCCAACACTGCTCAACAAATCATATGTTCTGGTCAATATTTGAGATTCCTCCAACACCATCCTTGGGCATGTCATGTCTCAGCAGCAGTTGGGACGGAATGGTCCTAAGAGTCCTCAATGTTGACTGAACATCATGAAGTCTCATGGCACCAGATCAAACATGGGCAAGGAAACCTTCTGCTAATTATCACCTATCATCTTCATCCAGAACTACTGAACGGATAGTCCCAGCTGAGCCTTCCCATACAGCTGCTGCCTGGTTCACTAATGTCCTTCAGGGAAGGATATTTGCCATCCTTGCCTGATCTGGCCTACATGTGACTCCAGACCCACAGCAACCTGGTTGGCTCTTAACTGCCCCCTGAAATGATCCCAACAAGCCACTCAGTTCAAGGACCATGAAAGATGGGCCATAGATGCTGGCCTTATTGGTGATGCCCATGTTCCATCAAAGAATAAAAACCACCATTTAAAAAACAAATTCACACTCAGTATTTGACATGAATGACTCCCTGTTCCTTTGTGCAAATGGTGATATGATTTTCCCTGCAATCAAGTTGAGAGCCCATATTTCATTACCGAGACACTCTTGTGAGGGGAATGAGAGTGGATTCTTGGAACTAAGTGATCTGCTTGTGAATGAGAGGGCACAGTTTGAAAATCAATTTCAAAAGACGCAAAACTGATACTTCATTCAGTAAGTGGTTAAGTTCTGGAGTGCACTACTGTTAAGTGTGGACAGGGCATGTTCAAGACGTTCGAAGGTGAATTAGACTGGTATCTGAAAAGAAGTAGATGTAGGGCTAAGAGAGGAGGCAGGAGAATTAAATTTGGAGAGCTAGTAGAGGCATGATGGGCCAAATGGCCTCCCTCTGTTCTAGCTCACAATGATATAAAAATGGACTATTGATCCTGAATTTTGATCTTTAATACCTGGGACCTTCATAGACGGTTTTAAAAGGGGGACAAAGACATTGATTAAAACTGGCCCTAGGTATCACTTCACCTGGCTGGCAAAGTTTTATAAAAACAATCTGGATTAGATAAGAGGTGCCAAGCTGAAATTAACATTTTATTCAAAGGAAATGAAAGTAGTTAATGCCCAACCAGGATCCTCATCTCCAACCTGTTTTTGCCCATCATGGGTATTTTCACACGTTGGAGGTGAAACATTGCCTTCAGAGAGAATAGACAAACAAGCAGCTATTTTGAGCAACCTTTTGTATGGCAGAAGCAGAGGAGATGGAGTTTTGACTGTAGGAAGTGAAACAGGCTGAAGAAGTCTCGCTGTCTTGTTCTCAAGAAAAGAAGCTTGGTGACCACAGCGACTGGAAAGAAACGTCTGGAAAATGAGGATGTAAAAATAGTTTCCAATTTACTGGTGACAGTCCTGGAAATCAACCAACCTATCATGGTGTCAGGTTAAAAATCTGATCCTCAAATCAAGGACATGGAAAGTACTCCAATCTGCATTTCGCTGTTCTTCCTTTTCTACTGTATATTGTGCCCTGTTTGTTTTGTTTTGTATCTGCCTGTCTGGATCTGAGAGCGTGAGGGCCAAAAACCTGCATGCTTCATGTTGCGCCTTATGAAGTTTCTCAGGGTGATGGTTAAAGTTTCTTTAGTTGGAGATGGTCATTGCCTTGCATTTGTGTGGTGAGAATGTTATTTGCCACTTGTCACGATATTATCTGGATATTTTTCAGAACTTGTTGCAAATTGAACATGGAGTCCTTCAGTATATGAGGAGTTGCAAATGGTGCTGAATATTGTGCAATCATCAGCGAATATCTCCAATTCTGACCTTATGATGGAGGGAACGTCATTGACGAAGCATCCGAAGATGGTTGGGTCTTAGGACACTACCCTAAGGAACTCCTCCAGTGATGTCCTGGAGCTGAGATGACTGATATCCAACAACCCCAACCCATCTTCCTAAGTACCAGGCACGACTCCAACCAATACAGAGGTTTCCCCCTTATTCCCATTGACTCCAGTTTTGCTAGGGCTCCTTGATGCCACACTTGGTCAAATGCAGCCTTGATGTCGAGGGCTGTCACTCTCACCTCACCTCTGGGATTCAGCTCTTTTGTCCATGTTTGAACCAAGGCTGTAATGAGGTCAGGAGCTGAGTGGTTCTGGCGGAACTCAAACTGGGCGTCACTGAGCAGGGTATTGCTGAGCAGGTGCTGCTTGACGGCACTGTTGACATCTTTCATCACTCTACTGATGATCAAGAGTGGACTAATGGGGTGGGAACTGATCAGGTTGGATTGGTCCTGCTTTT